GTCAGCCTGGGTTGTGAAGGGCTCCTAAGATCTGCGTGTGTCCCTTCTATCTGTATGTTTTATCTGTTGTATCTGTTGTGTGTATCTGTGGCCTGTGCGCCGCGTATCACTGCTTTGTCTGTTTTTTAAATGCAGATAAACATGATCATTGAGCTCATAATCATTTGTTGTATCCATGGGCTGTATCACAAACCACTGACAGATTGCATTGTGGGAGTTGGTGCAGATATGAGCCTGACTTCAGATCTATTTAAACCTGACTGTGAGCTCAAGTTCACCGAAGCCCGACCAGACTGCAGCATCTGGTGAGTGGACCTGATTTTGACTTTACATTGTATTGTATTGTTCATGTGTATTAGAGTATTTCATGTGTATTAGAGTATTTCATGTGTATTAGAGTATTTCATGTGTGTTAGAGTATTTCATGTGTATTAGAGTATTTCATGTGTATTAGAGTATTTCATGTGTATTAGAGTATTTCATGTGTATTAGAGTATCAGAGGCGGCTGTCACAGAACAGACTCATTCAATTGAAATATATTCACCAAAGTTTTCAGACACTCTATTTGAGTCGTGTATAATATAATATTCAGTGTAGCAGTACTTTTACTTGAGTAATATATAATACAGTGTAACAGTACTTTTACTTGAGTACTAAATGGTACAGTGTAACACTACTCTTACTTGAGTAATATACAGTACAGTGTAACAGTACTTTTACTTGAGTAATATATAGTACAGTGTAACAGTACTTTTACTTGAGTAATATACAGTACAGTGTAACAGTATTTTTACTTGAGTAATATATAATACAGTGTAAGAGTATTTTTACTTGAGTAATATATAGTACAGTGTAACAGTATTTTTACTTGAGTAATATACAGTACAGTGTAACAGTACTTTTACTTGAGTAATATACAGTACAGTGTAACAGTACTTTTACTTGAGTAATATACAGTACAGTGTAACAGTACTTTTACTTGAGTAATATACAGTACAGTGTAACAGTACTTTTACTTGAGTAATATACAGTACAGTGTAACAGTACTTTTACTTGAGTAATATATAGTACAGTGTAACAGTACTTTTACTTGAGTAAAAGTTGTGGTTCCACTGTGAGTAAGAGAACAAGTGACTGAAGTTTTCTGTGACAATAGGCTGTTACAAATAGTCTTACTCGAGTAGTCATTTCTCCAAATACTTTTTTTTTTAACTCTTCCTGGACTCTAGTCTGGCCACTCCAACTCCTCTGAATGTGGAGTTGATTTAGAGAAAAATTGTACTTGAGTAAGAGTATTCTTTCAAAAAGTAAATAGACTGGTAAAGTTCAGCTCACAGTATTTGTATGTGGTTTTAAAGTACCTCTCGTCTCTACAGATGCCCCCAAAACACCTGCAAACATGTTCTTCTGGGTAATCCACTTATTTATAGTCAAACTACACTATTGATACACTATTGATTGTTCATTGAAATGGATTTGTTGAGTGTGTTTTTTGTTTTTTTTTCAGCAGCTCATGCTATTAACACATTTCCTGCTGGCTGGTGAGTTCTCGTTTTGTTTTCTACTATTATTACCGTCACTTTGCAGTTGAAATACATTTCATCGTACAATTGAAATGCATTGATCATTTTGGTGAAACAGTAGATCAGTAAAGACGTGTGTGTGTAGTTTTGTGTAGTCAAATGTTTTATAGTGACTCTAGTTAGAACATTATCCACAGAAGTGACTGCTATTTTGTGGTTTTATTATCAAAGTGTACACTGAATGACCTCGATACTCCAGTTATCTGACTTTTCTAATCTTTTGTTTTTTTTATTTAGTTTATTCATTCATTTATTTATTTTTACAGGAAGTACCGAGGTTTCCAAAACGCAGGATGTAAAGCCGACGAGTCTTGTGACCAAACCCCCTCGTTCCACCTTATTCCTCCAGACCTTTCTCCCCAGTAAGAAACCACCTGCTAACACCAACATGCAAACATTAAAGGTTGTATAGAGGATTTTCCAAGGAACGAGAAATCCAGCGACTGTTTGTCCTTTTTCAAATGTTGCGCATGCGTGAAACCACCCCCCCTCCCCTACAGCTCCCTACGTAGAAACGCCTTCTCCCGCCTCCTCACTACGCCAGAAACAGGTTTGTTTACAGCCGGTGAGCTGCACATGACTTGTAAACAACTAACTACAGTGTTGGTTAGGCAAGGCGGAGAAGTGAGGAGCGGGGGGAGCGGGTGTGCGGACATTTCGTTCGCGGACGAGAAGTGAGGAGCAGGGAGAAGAGCGGAGCAGGAGAGAGGAGAGAGGAGAGAGGAGAGAGGAGAGGGGAGAGGTGCGCGGAGATTCCGTGCCCGGAGAAGTGAGGAGAAGGGGGAAGAGCGGAACGGGCAGCGGGGACAGGAGTAGGAAAGGGGAGCAGAGAAGGTTGCGCGGAGATTCAGTGCGAATGAACTAGCTACAACACGCAGCAGCAAGCGGACTCTTTCTTTGCCTTGAAAATTACGTTTTCAGACATAGGATATCGCTTTCGTGTCCTGAAAAACGTTTGACTAGCTCTTGGAAATAAAGTACGTTTTCATAATAAGCAGAAGTTACCTGTCCAGGAGTAATTTGGCGACCAATGCGTCAGTCTTTAGACCCTGCGTCTGCTTCAGTCGCGCCATCGCTGGAATGAATCTACAAGAATCACCTTAGTTTGGCTTCGCTGCTTTTCCCCTTGTCTTCTTCTTTCAGCGACCTCAAAAACGGACTTTCTTTTGCGGCTAACTGCTCCTGGATTCATGTCTGCCATTGCAACAAACTTTGTGCTAACTGCGAGGAAGATATAGGTCAAAAAAAGCCGCTAAGAACTGTTGCGTTGGTGGAGTAAACAGCATCTGTGCGTCTTGCGTCTGTGGACTGCGTGACAGGCGTACGTAAACCACGTACCGGCGGCGCGCAGGCAGGTCAGTTACGCTAGAAACGTAGGGAGTTTGATTGATAGCCTGTCAGCTAACAGATAACGAGGCAATGTCGTTATCTATTGGCAAATGTTTAGCCCCACCACGTCCAGAGTTGATGAATTTTTATTCTCTTTTTTTTGGTCATCATAATTACAAGGCTACTGCACCTCTATAATGCTATCATTGACAACTTGAAACAAAAAAAAACAAAAAAAAAATCCTCCATACAACCTTTAAAGCTGCACTATGGCTTTTTTTTCTGCTGAGGGTTTCCACTACCTAGAATGTTCCACAGTATGGCATTAAACTTGTCTTGTACTTATAGAATTAGAGGTTAAAAAAAGTTAATTCGATCCTTGGGTCTGAAAGATGTGTTCTGTACGTTTTTTCACGAGTATATGTGAAACTTGTTCCCCCTCACCTGGCCCCTCCCTTCAGCTGGTCCCTCCCCTCACCTGGCCCCTTCCTTCACTTGGTCCCTCCCCTCACCTGGCCCCTCCCTTCACTGGTCCCTCCCTCACCTGGCCCCTTCCTTCACCTGGTGCCTCATTTGGTCCCTCCCCTCACCTGGCCCTTCTCCTCATCTGGCCCCTCCCTTCACCTGGTCCCTCGACTGACCCCTCCCCCTAGGCTAGAGCATGGCAATGGCCATAGTTATCCTGCCACTAAAAACAGTCTTACAAAACACCCGAAGTAAATCTATTATTACACCAGACTGTCCATGTGAATGTCTGTGTTGATAGAATAACGTTTGAAATAAAACTAACCTTGTATCGCATGAATTATCGCACGTTGAGGGACTATTTTCTCATATGTCAAACCGCCGCTGCCAAGCTTTGTATCAGCTGCTGCTGCTTAGACATAAATCCTTCAAAAGCAAGGCTGGTTTTACTTCTAAAATTATTCTGTCGACACAGACATTTACATGGACAGTCTGGTGTAATAATAGATTTGTTTCGGGTGTTTTGTGGAGTGGGTAAGACTGTTTTTAATGGCAGGAGAACTATGGCCATTGACATGCACTAGTCTAGCACCAGCGACCTCTGCAAATACAAGGACTGGATGGAATATTTTAAAAAGTGTCTCCACACGTCTCCAACACTGAGCCCCTATGTCCAAAATTCCAAACTGTCCCTTTAGGTAAAAGTACAGATATAGAGGCAAAAGATTACTCAAGTAAAAGTATCACTGCTTAAGTAAAACTATTAATAAGTACCTGTTTAAAAATGTATTTCAAGAGTCAAAAGAAAACTATTTTTGAAGAGATATTTGGAACAATTAAAGCCCCAGATGTAGTGATTTTGAAGAATTTGGCTGATTTTAAGTGATTCAGTTGATTTCTATTTTGGTATCTTTGGTTTTCTCAAAGTTGGGATGTTAATTCATATGTGATAAAAATAAAGTCTGAAGGGTGGTCCGTCCTGCTCCTGAATCTCAGTCGATCATCTTAACTCCTCACACTGTAGTACATCGAGTGCATTTTCTGTTGATCCATTGTTTGTGTGAATGAGTTTTTAATGAATGAAAGTTGAATTTGTGTTTTATTTCAGTTCCTGATCATACACCCTTCAGCGACACCACTCCTCCTTCGACGCCGTACATAATCGTCTACGACGGTAAGAGCCCGCTATCAAAACGTACGCTTTTTCATGTCATTCTAAACCCTCCAAAAAAGTTCTCTCAAAAAATGGTACCAAAATTCAACTCAAAACATGTGAATGATGTCAGTGGAGAAAACGTCAAGGCCTAATGGCAAATGAAAACTCATGACATGAACAAATTCTAGAACATGAACCAGACCTATTCTCAATATGTTTCTGTTTCAGTCAAAGATGAAGAAAAGTTTATTACTCATGATGAATTTACTCCTCCAGTTACTCCAAAATATTAATAAATGTTACTAAGCTAATCTGTTTTTTTTGTTGTTTTTTTTTTTTAGATATATCCAGATATCCGTTTCCTATCACAGAGACGACTACAGATGAACCCACCAGTATTCTTCTACCCCCCACCACCAGACCAACGACTGAACCCATCCCCACACCAGACCAAAGACCAAAGACCAAACCCACCCTCCCCCACCAGACCAAAGACCAAACCCACCCTCCCACCAGACCTGCAGTCACAGAGCACATAAAAATCAGTGAGGAACTACTTTATTTAATGGTTCTTTTTTGGCAAATGATGAAACTACTACTACTACTTCTACTACTACTACTACTACTACTACTACTACTACTACTACTACAAAACCTTCATTCCCAGACAGTCCTTTAAACCAATTCTTTTACAGTAAGAAATCAGTTGGTGACCTTCTCCTCTGACCCTCTGTTTTGGTGTCTTTGGTTTTCTCAAAGTTGGGACATTAACTCAATTTAAATGTGATAAAAATAAAGTCTGAAGGGTGGTCCGTCCTGCTCCTGAATCTCAGTCGATCATCTTAACTCCACATAGTACACCCAGTGCATCTTCTGTTGGTCCATTGTTTGTGTGAGTGAATTTTGAATGAATGAAAGTTGAATTTGTGTTTCATTTCAGTTCCTTCTCATCATACACCCATCAGCGACAGCACTCCTCCTACGACCCCATACCCGCCCTTCTACGACGGTAAGAGCCCGCTATCAAAACATGTGCTTTTTCATGTTATTCTAAACCCTCCAAAAAAAGTTCTCTCAAAAATGGAACCAATATTCAACTCAAAACATGTGAGAGTTGTCAGTGGAGAAAACTTATTTCTTATTTTATTTATTTGTAAAGGGACAGTACATATTAATGAACATTAAAAATGTAAATATGTAAAGATTATACCCAACGTGGCTCATTTCCATCTTCAGTCCCTCGGCAGGTTGATGTGAAATCATCTACTGGACGAGGAAAAATACAGCAACAATCACACAAAAGTACACAACACCAGCACACTCACTGTACACACAACACACTCACTGTACACACAACACACTCACTGTACACACAACACACTCACTATATGTACAACACACTCACTATACACACAACACACTCACTATACACACAACACACTCACTATAAATACAACACACTCACTATACACACAATTAGTTTCAAATAGTTCATTTGAAGTTCAAAGTCAAAAGTTTAAGAATTAAACCAAGAGTTAAACCAACAACCCCTCAAAATAAAAGAAAATATAAATTGGTTAAACATGGTGACATATTTGACCATTGAATAACCACTGATTTAAAGCTTTAGAAAATGCTGCCAATGTTGAAAAATTCTCGTATATGAGCAGCTCTGTGTTCCATGTTTGAGCTGCTCGATAAGCAAAAGAGAATTGTCCAAAAGTACTTTTCCTAAACGGCACAGAGCAGTCGCCTCTCGAGCTGCTCTTGTTGTGTGATTTTAATTTCTTTTCACAAACTCCTTCAGAGGAGGTGGAGCAAAATGATTAAAAACTTTGTATATACCAGAATTAAATCTGCATATTTAATTGTGTTGTCCCAATTTAGGAATTTGTATTTGTCAAGTATTCTGCAATAGTGATAATTTAACTTCAAGGCCTAATGGCAAATGAAAACTCAAGACATGATCAAATTCTAGAACATGAACCAGACCTATTCTCAATATGTTTCTGTTTCTGTTTCAGTCAAATATAAAAAACAGTTTGTTCCAGTTGCTCCAAAAACTCCTTTCCCAGTGGATCCTTTCAGCCAATTTCACAGTAAGAAATCAGTTTGTAACCCTCTCCTCTGCATCCTCTGACCCTCTCCTCTGACCTTCTGCTCCATCTGACCCTCTGCTTCATCTGAACCTCTCCATCTGACCCTCTCCTCTGCATCCTCTTCTCCATCTGACCCTCTCCTCTGCATCCTCTTCTCCATCTGACCCTCTCCTCTGCATCCTCTTCTCCATCTGACCCTCTCCTCTGCATCCTCTTCTCCATCTGACCCTCTCCTCTGCTTCGTCTAACCCTCTAATCTGACTCTCTCCTCTGACCCTCTGACCCTTTGGCCTTCTCCTCTGCTCTTCTGACCCTCTTGTCTGAACCTCTGCTCCTCTGGCCTTCTCCTATAAAAATATTAGTAAATGTTCTTAAGCAAATTTTTCTCTTTTTTTCAGCCAAACATCAGTTTCCCCTCACACAGACGTTTCCCATCCCAAAGACGGATCCTATCACACAGACGTTTCCCATCCCAAAGACGGATCCTATCACAATAACGTTTCCCATCCCAAAGACGGATCCCATCACACAGACGTTTCCCATCCCAAAGACGTTTCCTATCACAAAGACGTTTCCTATCACAAAGACGTTTCCCATCACAAAGACGTTTCCCATCACAAAGACGGTTCCTATCACAAGAATGGAGCTCATTAACATCAGTGAGGAACTACTTTATTTAATGGTTATTTTTTAGCACATGATGAAACTATTACTATTCCAACAACTACACCGACTCCTCCTCCAACTACTACTATTACTACTACTACTACTACTGCTACTACTACTACTACTACTACTACTACTACTACTACTACTACTACTACTACTACTACTACTACTACTACTACTACTACTACTACTACTACAACACCAACTACGACTCCAACTACGACTACTACAAGACCTTCATTCCCAGACACTTTAAGCCAATTTTACAGTAAGAAATCAGTTTGTGACCCTCACCTCTGCATCCTCTGACCATCTCTTCCTCATCTTCTGCTCCATCTGACCCTCTCCTATAAAAATATGAATAAATGTCAAAATATGAATAAATGTCTTTTGTTTTTTCAGCCGAACACCAGTTTCCCATCACAAAGACGGTTTACACAACTGAATCCACAACCAAACCCTGGACCGAACCCTGGACCAAACCTTGGACCAAACCCTGGACCAAACCCTGGACCAAACCCTGGACCAAACCATGGACAAAACCATGGACCGAACCCTGGACCAAACCTTGGACCAAACCCTGGACCAAACCCTGGACCAAACCTTGGACGAAACCCTGGACCGAACCCTGGACCAAACCCTGGACCGAACCCTGGACCAAACCCTGGACCGAACCCTGGACCAAACCATGGACCAAACCCTGGACCAAACCCTGGACCAAACCCTGGACCGAACCATGGACCAAACCCTGGACCAAACCCTGGACCAAACCATGGATCAAACCCTGGACCGAACCCTGGACCAAACCATGGATCGAACCCTGGACCGAACCCTGGAACGAACCATGGACCGAACCCTGGACTGAACCCTGGACCGAACCCTGGATCAAACCCTGGACCAAGCCATGGATCAAACCCTGGACCAAGCCATGGATTGGACCCTGGACCAAACCCTGGACCAAACCCTGGACTGGACCCTGGACCAAGCCATGGATTGGACCCTGGACCAAACCCTGGACCAAACCCTGGACTGGACCCTGGACCAAGCCATGGACCGATCACACCATCGCCACCAAACCTCCAACCAGTAAGGAACTACTTTATCTATACTTTCTTTTTTGTTACAGTTTATATTTTTAAAGCTGCTCTGTGTAACTTGTCTTATAGAGGCTACACCAGTTGCTTGTCTTCACTGAAACATTTGACCTAGAATAATTCACACCCTCCATCACAAAATTATAGATCGCACATTTGATCTAGTCACAATAGATGGTAAATCATTTAATTCCAGTAAAACCCTAACTTCAAGATTTTAACTTCATCAGACAGACTAAGTGACCCAAATCAGATTTTTTGGCCCCTTTGCGACCTGTACCTGATCTTTGAATGACAGTCTGAACGATACAGATCCGATTTTTTCAAATGTGACCCAGGCCACTTGGATATGTGCTCCTAAAACCGACACACATTCGATCTTTGACCTGCGACTTCAGTCTGAACGGTCAGGTCGCATTCATCGCCCGTGCGTTTACTCACCGAAATAGGAGATGAGTTGTACAAGTAGGTGCTCACAAATGTACACAAACGTTCTTCTCGTTGAACGAAAATTGCGTCTGAACTAGGGATGGGCAGTCGATGAAATTTTGTTAATCGATCGTCGAGAGAATTAACGATTGATTATCGATTAATCATTAACGTTTTTATACTAAAATTGATCATCATTATTATTACTATCTGCACTACTAATCTGCATAAATAAATTCAACTTTACGACAAATAAACCGTAACCACCCTAGAGCCACATCAGCCCGTTTATTATAATGTGTTTAATTCAGTTTTGTGCAACTCTCACAGAAACCAAACTTAAAACCACATCACTAATTTGCATAAACTAAGTGAAGATTAAAAAAAAAAAACAGCTCTTGTGTCGCTGATGCGGTTCAACTTCTGTCGGATTAAAAGACATGACTCAGTGGAATACAGGTTAGTGTGACCAGATTTGCGTTTGTCAAAACCAGGACACCGTACGGGGGGAGGGAGGTGGGGACTCGTCATCCACATTGAGCGACTCTCACCTGACAAAGCTTTTTCCCATTGAACACTGAAACATATGTGCTGCTTTGTACACTGTGCACATGGACTCACACTTTTCCCGACCAGAACGGAAAGTGTGGAATTTCTTGTACAAGTCATCGTTAAATACGCATATGCACTTCGGTACGTTGCAGGCGGACTGACTGTTTGTGTCTCTCTCCTTCTGAGTGCAGAGAGCTACTTGTACAGACCCGTTTGGTCAGGCTACGCACAGCAACCTACATTCGGTTTGTCAATTAAAATTAACGTAATCGATGAAATTCTTAATGATCAATTATCGATTAATCGACTAATCATGCCCAGCCCTAGTCTGAACTCCGTGTTAGTGAAGCAATGAAGCCCATATCAATCCCACCACTCTTGGCTGGGGTGAACAGACGTCCCTATTTACCCGGGACAGTCCCAGTTTTGAGCCCTGTGTCCCCTGTCCCAGCAGATTTATCCAAAACCAGTGATTTGTTCCAGTTTTATACAAGAAATGTCCCAGGTGTCCCTATTTTGACCAATTTGGTCTAAACAAAGAATAAACTAAGATTAAACCAGGACTACATCAGGTCTAAATCAGGATTAAAATTGGACTATCACAGTTTTTGACTAATCTGATCCCTGTCAACAGTAAAGAGGAGCATACATTTTCATTTGTTTCACCAAAATACAGAAAACCATGTTTGTGAATGACCATAAAGCAAAAAATGCAGCGACAGAAGTTCCTCAAATAATAACTGACACAAGAACGCACAAAGTGTTGAAAATCTGGTCACACTACTCTTGGCTGCAACTCGGCACCCACACGTTCCTTTCTACGGACGTTGCTGCTACTGCCTCACAAAACGCAATAGCCAAAAACCTTCGTCCTTCTCCTTCGCAATTTCCTCCTTAAAACAAATAAGCTGTTCTGGCTCTAGTACGACAGCAACTTTAAAACCTCCAGGTGCCCACTGCTCGCGTCCATGTTTAGACGACTTCATTAAACTGCGTGTGACATTGTCGTGTCCTTCAATGCACATCTGGGACATTTTGGGGTGTTTTGGGGTGTGTAGGCTCTACTCATGCTTACGTCACAAACCACAAAGACATTGGGAAAGATGTGGTTATGACTTCTGCTGGGTTCTATTTGTGGTAGTAAGTCTGACAAAAGCTAGGAAAATGAGAAAATGTTTTCTTCATCTCCATGTCTTTGTAGCGTTCCATTCTTTGCAGCTCTCCGCTGTTTACCCGACTGTCACCCTTACACAGTAATAATCAAACACATGATATTCAACAGCCTCGTTCCTGTGTTTAAATGTCTGGATTAGAAACTTTGAAAGGGTCTGTGCTTTTGTCTTGTGTCGACAGAGTGCTGGACTCAGTGGTTTGACAGGGACAACCCCTCTGGCAGCGGAGACTGGGAGACTCTTTTAAGTCTACACCTCCAAAACCCTGGAAAGATCTGCAGCACACCTCTGGAGATTCAAGCCCTGACCACCTCGGGCCAGTCAGTGTCCTCCACCGGGGACGTCATCAGCAAGTGAGTGTCTGTGCAGCTACAACAGTTATGTTTGAAAGTGCACGACAATATAAAGTTACTCAAATATACATGAAGCGATCGATAATTCAGCTCTTGAGTAAATTCAAGTTACACAAAATTGACTCTTGTGAGTTTGAGCAGGGCTGTAGTGGGTGTGACGTGAAGTATAAAAAATTAAAAGTATAAAATAGTTAAAACTTAAATGTCAAACTGGAGCTACTGGCAATGATGAAAACAACCTGCACAGGCTTGGACCCAGAAGTGACATCATTGCTCTATGGGAACTTTGGTATGTGAAGGCCCAGCTCCAGGCCAAATAAGAGTCAGGTTTGTGGAGATGCAAGCCTGAAGTATGAAGTCATATTTTTCAGTGCAATAAAAACGTAACAAATTCATTTTATTTTAGTGGTTTTTGGGAGTAAGGTCACACAGTGGGCCTAAAAAAACTCATAAACATTAATTTTACATAACACTTACACTTTCTTAATTACTATGGCATAAAAACATGCACATACATTATATCCATCCATTTTCTTCCACTTTATCCGGAGCTGGGTCACGAGGGCAGCAGGCTAAGCAGGGACTCCCAGACTTCCCTCTCCACACACACTTCCTCCAACTCTTCTGGGGGGATCCTGAGGTGTTCCCAGGCCAGCCCAGAGACATAGTCCCTCCAGCGTGTCCTGGGTCTTCCCCGGGGCCTCCTCCTGATGGGACATG